CTGCAAACTTACTGAGGGTGCACTCAATGAATACTCGATTAAGTATCTACTATCAGTTAATTCTTTCATATTTAGGGGCACCAGAGTTGTCCCATCTCACTTCAAGACTTAGTCTTTCTAGCTTTAGATCAAATAAAGCCAACTGCTAGCACAATTCCCAAAACATAACTGCCCTTGTTTTTTTTCTCTTAGGCCATGTTGGAGCCCCTCTGGCTTGTAACATCATAAAACTAGATGATGTGGAAGAAATGAACTACTTCTCTTCTAACAACGAAGGCGAGGTAGGTACTATCTCCTGTGTGCATCAGGAAATGCTGAAACATAAGACTGAGTGACTAATGATGTTCTGTGCTTGCTATAGGTCTGCATTAAAGGACCAAATGTGTTCAAGGGTTATCTGAAGGACCCTGAGAAGACAGCAGAAGCAATTGATAAAGATGGCTGGCTCCACACTGGAGACATAGGGAAATGGTTGCCAGTGAGTAACTACTTAATACAAACCATCCCTTGGATGTGAATTCCTGGTTAGTTTACAGTAATCTGAAAAGATGGAGAAGTGAATTTTAGGATAAAAGCCTTACACAGTATTTTATTATCATTCACCAAGTAACTCCAGGCAAAGCTCTAAAGACCAGTTAGGTTACAAGATCTCAAATTTAACACTTGCTAGGCCAGTAGTTAAGACTACGTCATTTCCACAGTGAAGAACAACAAGGTGTCTTGGTTTCTGTCAGAGGAGAATAAAGGAGCTGTCTAATCATGTCCTGAGCTAACTGGAGAAATTAGACGAAGTGCCCCTTCTCTCTACAGAGAGCAAAGACCAGTTCCAGACTAGCATGTGCTTTTCATACAACAAAACCAAACCTGTTATCTTCTACTTCTTATAGAAGCAAGACAGAGACTTGAAACTAATGGCCTCCACTTTTAACTTCTAGAATGGAACACTGAAGATCATCGATAGGAAGAAGAATATATTTAAACTTGCACAAGGAGAATACATTGCTCCAGAGAAGATAGAAAATATCTATATCAGAAGTGCTCCTGTAGCCCAGGTCTTTGTACACGGGGAAAGCCTAAGGGTAAGTGATGTTAGGAGTGAGCATCCTGCAAGATTCCTCCCACAGTGAGTTCTGGAAGATCAGGGCACAAATGTATGCAATATACAAGAGTCCTTGAACAAGATCTGTTTCCGAGAGTGCCATGTTTATAGGAATATCCTTTCAGACCCATAGTCTTCCCAACTGACACTAAAGAAAAGGAGATCTTGGCATCAGGTTGCAAGCTGGGTAAAAGCTAATTACATACTTGTATGGGATTAGTATGTTAGGTCAGCTCTGTACAGTTTAGAATCATAGAATAGTTTGGGTTGGAAGGGACCTCTAAAGGTCATCTAGTCCAACCCCCCCTGCAATGAGCAGGGACATCTTCAACTAGATCAGGTTGCTCAGAGCCCCATCCAACCTGACCTTGACTGTTTCCAGGGATGGGCCATCTACCACCTCTCTGGGAAACCTGTTCCAGTGTTTTACCATCCTCATTGTAAAAAATTTCTTCCTTCTATCTAGTCTAAACCTACCCTCTTTCACTTTAAAACCATTACTCTTTGTCCTATCACTACAGGCCCCGCTAAAATGTCTGTCCCCACCTCTTATAAGCCCCCTTCAAGTACTGAAAGGTTACAACAAGGTCTCCCTGGAGCCTTCTCTTCTCCAGGCTAAATAACCCCAACTCTCGGCCTTCCTTCGTAGGAGTGGTGTTTCTCCTCTCTCAGCCTTTTTTCATAGGAGAGGTGTTTCTCCACTCCTCTGTCACAGAGGTGTCACCTATGCTAGCAGAAGCCAGTCTTCAATCTGTAAACCAGCCAAAAGTAATTTCTGGAGCATTCAGCACAAATAACAAACCACATTAGTACCTCAATTACTGCTGTCAGAAATCAGATAAGTGACTTGAAAGTCCTTGTAGCTACCTTCTGAACTCTGGGAATAGATGGGGATGTATGTGTGGCTTGTTATAGAGACACTGTCCACAATCAAGTTCACATAGACAATCAAAGTAATTTCAGATGCCTTATCTTGGTCTCAACATGACTACGTCCACTTGTTTTCAGTCTTTTCTAATAGGTATAGTGGTACCTGATCCTGAGACGCTTCCAGAATTTGCAGCAAAACTGGGAGTAAAAGGTTCATATGAAGATGTCTGCAAAAATCCAGTGAGTGACTTTATGTTTTTAGTGAGTTATAGATAGAATTTAATTCTGAAGTCCAATCTTGCATTGGTTTGACTTCGTTCTATCCACCTTTTTTGTAAATTAAACTGGTTTAATGCTGGGTGAGTCATGCATGCAGCATTACAGCAAAAACCGGAACTAATTATAGGTGTCCCTTGATGTTTCAAGGGCTATCACTGCTTCTTTTCCACTGAGTAGACATGACCTTGCGGTGGCCTTAATATGAGAAATCTTGAATGTTGAAATAAGTACGTGTATACTTGCCGACCTCAGTTTTCGCTGACTGGGCAATGCGTATAGTCTTGAGTTGCAATTACAAAGTGGCAGCTTTACCCACTCTACTCCCGCTTTGTTTCTTCTAGGCAGTGAAGAAAGCTATTTTAGAAGATATGGTCAGATTGGGGAAAGAGGCTGGCCTTAAATCCTTTGAACAAGTGAGTACTTCCAAATCCTGCTTGTCACAAGCACCTGTATTGCTAATGCAATGGCTGTGAAGTCTTCATTCTGTTATTGACCATGCCAGGATGGGACCTAAGACAGCTGCCCTGGACGACTGATTGAGGTAGGCAGTGAAACACTGACTGGCTGCCTGTCTGTTGACCAAGAGACAGGTGGCTGTACAGGGCAACAGTAGCCATTGCCATGAGATGGAATGGAGGTTCACCACAGGCTGCAGGAGCTGTACTGTAGTTCCAGCCTATCCCCTTCTGTGTCAGCCAAAAGGAGTTTGACTTGCATTAAAAACCAGTTCAGTTACTGGAGGTCCTGAGACTGAGTTTTTGCACTGACCTCAAGGAAGCTGGAAGAACTGTTGTTTCTCCTCTAAGTAATTACGTAACTGACATGTGCTAAATTATTTTCTTTTAATAGGTTAAAGACCTGTACATCCACACAGAGCTGTTCTCTGTAGAAAACGGACTCCTGACACCAACACTGAAAGCAAAGCGAGCAGAGGTGGTTAAACTCTTCAAGAAGCAGATTGAGGCCCTCTATTCAAGTATGCAGGAATAAGTGGCCAGTTTAATTTAAACTGCATGGAGTATCCAAACAAATCTGACACTATATGACCTATGAAGAACACAAGCATGAGTGGAGGGGAGCAAGGAGAACTTAAATATATTGTTTCTGATATCCTGAGAAAAATTACTTTCAGGTGAAGATGGCTATAGTATAACTGACAACTGGCAGTGTTTATATCTTGCACGACTAAGCATAAGCTGTCTCGGCAAAGCCAGAACTTTCATCTTCCTTGGACTGTGACTGAAGTGCAAAAAACTCAAGAGCCTCAACCTTTAAAAGGCAGCTGTATATTTTTCTCACTGTCAAAAGCAAATCTTGTTTTCCTGCTCCAACTATGAACTCCATTGTGACCTTTTGTGGATTGATTTGCGACCAGACTGAACTCTGCAATTACCTGTTTTGGGTAGGGGGGAGATAGTTCAAAAACCAAGTGCAGAAAAATAACACTTCACATTCCACTCAGGATGCTACAGCCTGTCTCAACTGAAGCTGTCACAATATGAATTGGAGCTTAATGGCTGTTCAGCAAATACAGAAGTGAATTTCCTGTTCCTAGCCCTGGACCACAGTAGAGGTTGTTTTTAATGAAAATGAGTAGCCTGGCATCAACTGGTTTACAAAGTACCTGTGTCTAAAGCAAACATAGTTTATACTCTAGTATGGGAGGCACTGGATCAATTTTTGCATGTCCTCAACTGCAATGGCAGTTATAAAGCCTCTACACTTATTAATTTGAGCCTGGTAAGTGGAAAACTTTAGCTGTCATTCCTAAGGATATAGGATGCAATAAATTGTAACTGCACAATCAAACCAAAGTGTGAGTGAGTGACTTCTCTGCTGCAACCACACTGTCAGCTGCAAGGTTTACTGCTGGTTATGTATAGCTGCAGGTAGAATACAAATGCTGCAGAAAGCTAACTTGTTTCCTGTGCTGTCACTGCTCAATCACAGCTGAAGCCATGAGGCAGTAAGATAGTGCCAGACTAGATGTTGCTCCTCTACGCAGCTTTCCTTTTCTGGTAGTAAGGCAGTATTTGCCAAAGTCTTCAGCATAAATTCATTCTTCTAACTCAGCCTATCACATGAAATAAAGCATCAGATATAATTTTCTAGGGCTAAAGCTGCTTCTTTAGAAAACTATTTAGGCAAGATGAGTACTGTCTCTATCTTTAGAAATGTGTCCTCAACTAGTGTATGCTGTCTCTGCTGACCATTCCTCCCTGTCCCTGTAGTAGTCTGCTGTATCAATCCAAAAGGCAATGTGGTGCTAACAAGGATGAAATGGGGGGCAGCAGTACATATAGCTTTCCTATGCCAATTTTCCTTGTCTGTGCCAGATTCTTACAGCTAGTGTCTGTTCCTCTCTGTATTTAATGCTCGTTGTCAGATATCCTAAAATGAAAGCAACCAGTAGATTTGTCAATCAGGAAAGACCCACCCCTTACTGTAAGGCATCTCTAGCTTTGACTAGTAAAAACAACTGACCCAATTCTGTTTCTAGTCTAGACATAAAGACCTTCACATTTTCAGGTAACTGTTGTGTTAGTTACGGTGCTTGTCATAACCTGAGCCTATAAAGGCTTCTAAGACTCTGAAAGTGCATGTAACTCTGCTGCTTATCTTTCCCATGCTTCCTTAAAGCAATGTGCCTTAAAAGCTACTGATAGCTTATCTTTTCCCCCAGGTGAGACTGAGGAGAGAAAAAAAGGAATCAGAGGGAAGAAACTGGTTTGGGGTTCTGATGAGCAATTCAGTTGGGGACAGTAAATCTAGTGCAAATGAGATCTGTATAAACTTGAGGCTGAATGCCATGATGCCACCTGCTGTAGTGCCTGGAAAACACTCTCTTTATTGTATCAAGTGAAACTTCCTTATAGAGGTCTGCTTGGATGTTAAAGTGTAGCACTCTGCAGTGGGTCCTTCAACTAGCAGTGTTCAGATACCAATCACAGTGCTTCACTCAGCTTAAAGAGATTTCTTATTTGTGAACTAAGCAGAGAATGCCTACTTTTCCATGCCGTGTTTCAAAAACTAATAACTTTGTACAGGTCACTTTCTAATCCAGTAGAAGCGCCTTCTCTTTTGGAAGAGGAAGCACCTCAATCTCTGAACTTGGTTTGCTCTTAATGGCAACTAAGCCTCTTCTCACAGTGGCAAACTACAGTGCTTTAGGTTTTTCATGTGTGTGGTATCTGCTAGTAGCTGTTACAAAGAAGGAATTGAATGGGTAATGGCACTGTCTGAACAATAAATGATACATAGCAATTCAAGTGTAAACTGGTCTGAAACTGGTCTCTTGGGTGCTGCCTGTGTCATATGAACTGCTCCTACAATATAGATCTGAAGTAAAAAAGAAGAGTACTTTAGGCATGCTTGCACTGAAATGGTACAATAATTATTTCAGGCTATTGTTTGAGCACTAGAGAAAACTACAGCAGACTTGAAACACTGTTATACTGTGAACAAAGATTTGAGGTAAGGATGGCTATAGGTACAATGAAATTTAATCCTCTGCAACTTCTTTTTCCATGCTACAGAGATGGGTGCTAAAATAACATCCAGTCTTCTCTACTTGCTTTAAAAAGGTCTCATCTAGTAGCTGTCCATTATGAACTGATCCATTTGGTCTGTAGTATAGAAGTGTATACATGATGAAAAATGAGATACCATGACTAATAAAGATGATTCACATAAGGTAGGTATAATGAATGTTGATAATACAGCTTGCTTTTACTTATCAAATTGGAAACAACTCATATGTACTGCATCAGGAATTAGATTACCTGATTTCAGCTCTCAAAATACAATTTGTTAAGTGCATTTTCTTTCCATCTCTATGAAACCACCTCTGTGCCTGCAACTTAATAATTACTGGTTAGTCTCTTCTGTTCCTGATCTAGACAGGAAGTGTTCAGAGGGAAATACTGACCCTTAATTCATAATTTAGCTTTAATAAGGTTCTTATTTCAATCAGTGCTCTACAGCTCTAGAATCTTTCTCTAATGCTGTAGCGACGCAACTGAATTGTAAACACTAAATAACCTGCAAATCGCTGGCTTCCCAGCATGGGAAGTTCCCTTTTCTGCTCCAGGTGACTACTTTACATTTGAAAAACTAACTATATGGGAGCTGCTTAAACTCTAGCACAAGCTTGTATTTGCTCAACTCTTAGATCTGGATTAAAATCAGAAGCCTCTTGGTTAATACTATCGAGGAGGGGAGAACTTTCATCATTGATTTCTTTTACTATTGGTAATCACCTTAAAGTTACCAGGCATGAGAATATTGTCTTTTGCACAGCCTGATGTATATGGTAATGTAGCCCTTTCCTCATTAAGAACTGAGACACCTGGCAGTCAGTGGCTTCAAGAGTCTCTTCCCATTGGAGGCGAAAGCAAGGGCAGATGAGTAGAAAGCAAAATTTTCATTGATTTGGTGGGTGAACAGGCTGCCTGAGATGTCCATTTACCATGGCCGGCATTGTTCTTTTATGGCAGATTCTGTTTCTGTTTTGGCACAAAACTATTTCTTATTAGCCTATTTTATTATTTCCCTTTAAATAGGAGGGCAGGGTTCCACTTCAGTAAGCAGTTACCCTTACTTTCCGTCATACTAGAGCCTGAGCTAGGCTAGCGTGGCATTGCAAGTCCAGACTCGCTGTTAGATGATAGAAAGGATGCAAAGCTCAAAATTTTAAATAAAAAGAGCAATTTTTCCCTCATGTAAAAGCAAGAGATAGTTTAATAGAGCTAACCACTGTATGAAAGACACTTGCTTTTCGCTTCCCCCAGACCTGGCTTCTCTAGGAATTTGAACCTAAAGAAAATCAACTGAATTCCCTGATGAATCACTGCAGAACACAGAATCTATACCTGCTCCTTTCCTTAATAAACAAAGGTCTTCCTGAAGTAAAAAGCAGGAAGTGAGGAATGAAGAAGAAAAAAAGAAGGTAGAATGGGATGGTAGAAAGGAAGGAAAATAAAATCTACTAGTATTAAGAATCATAGTTCCTTAGAGGTGGTTTGTCTTTAAACTTCATGCTCTGATACAGTTGTTTTCAGTAATGGAAAGAGAGATTATAGTTTCTTGGCTATAGAATCTCTAAACGCCTTTAAAAGGTATGCATTTTGTTTTGGCTGATTGTTTGTAGGCAAGCATTGCTGAGTTAAGGTGTTGTAATGGTAAACAGAAACAAGTTACCTGTGTTACAAAAGGGAAGAGGTGGGACTGAGTTACTGCTACAAGGAAAGAAGATGAAAGTATAAAAGAAAAAAAAGCATATAAAATCAATTTCAGAGTGTAAGTGTACTTCTGAAGCAGAGCTCCTGGATGTGCTGTAGTTCAGGGTACAGTGATCGTCATGTGCAAGATTCTGCTCAGATGAAAGCTGAAATAGAGTTGAAGATGCTATTCAACCACTAAATGCTATCCAGTCCTATATAAACAGACCACAGCTTACACAAATTCCCCTCCTAATACCTAACAATCAACTGTGGTCATTAGTGCTGTTATTCTGTTCCTATTACACTGCTAATTACTCCCTGCTAATATATAGCTATTTAATAATTTCAAAGTCAAGAACAAGAGGTCCTTAGCCACCAGCTTCCTTGGATAGAAGAGAAACTTCTTTGTGTAACTTGTTTGGTTCCAGACTCCAGACACTAAACAGAAACTCCTGCAGTTAAGACTAAGAATATTCCATGCAGTTTGGAGATTTTCATATTAATTTCAGCTCATATTCCAAAATAGCTACATCCTGCCAAGTTACAGCCTTTCAGCTCTTGCTAGCAGGGGAACTAGAAGTATGATACAGTCCTACACTGCTAATGAAGCCTGCTTCTAGAAAATAAGTGTTTTGATTTCAAGAGGGGCAAAGAACCTGCTTGCAAACTACTGAAACTGAACACCAACTCCCCCTTGCCACAGCTCAGAAACAGCCTAGGATTATGGCTCACCAACAGCACTAAGGCACAGCAGGCTACAGGTACCAAGAAGCTGGCTTTCTGCTGGAGATAAAGAATCTGAGTAGGAGCACACACGAGTAATGCTGGCTTGTCTGTATGTAGTTATTTCTATACACACTTAATATTGTTTAAGAAATGCTCACCTGCCTGAGATGCAGGTGGAGGTAAACCAGGTGTTAGTTTAAAACAGTCATTTGCAAAAA